TGTCTATCTTAGAAGTAGTCTTTCAAATCTTTAAAACACAAAGATTATCAAATTATGAAGGTTTGATTACTATTTTTACGGTAAAAGATAATTACAACAAGGTATAACAGTACGAATATTATTTCGGTTCTTATAGAAGTCAGTTAACCAAATTACCTCCCATCCCATGCGCCTACATTCTTCTTTCACATAAAATATATATGATATGAAGCAAAATTATTGAAATTAAATGCCCAAACACCTAAAAATATTTTGCATAATCAATAACTTGTAAGGTCAAGTCAGCAATCTGAATGGGAAGGCTAAATATTAGTTATTAGACGAAACCGCACGCACAAACCTCCACATTGATCACATTTTCCTTCCTTACTATCTAGGCGTACTTGATCAAGGCACTATCGAAATTACAAGATGTAAAGAATTAACGAGATTTGTACTTTGACCTGGAATGAGAAACGAACAGATAATACCGAAATTTAGTATACATACCGATAATTTGTTCTTTCGTACTAACATTCTCAGAGGCCTGCTTTAGCGCTGAAAACAGGCGAGATGATACCGCCTGTGGACCGTTCAACTCTAGTCGAGCTTTTCCCCCCCAACCATTTAGATAAACTAGATTACTGCATTGTTGAAGTCACATCATCCCTCAATATAACAAAAAATTACCTACTATATGCTACTGTCGCACGCGCCATTGTTACTCTAGACGATCACCCCAAATGTGTACCATCAATTATCATCGACTGTGAAGGTGACTTCTGCGCTTCAAGCCTCGCCATAGAGCTCGATGACTTCATCCGAAGCAGAAGACCCTTGCTTAAGTCTGAAGCGGTTCGTGAAATCATTGAAGAGGCAAGTTTAGCCGGCCTGATGTTGATCTAATCTTATTGGAAGACTTGGCTCCATAGAGCTAAATCTCAAGTACTGTGCCTTATTAAGATAGGTGCTCCGACGTGCATCATTTTACGCATTTTTGACAGTTACTACAAGATTAAAGAGACACAAGCTACTTTAAATTTCACAGGAGATTCATACCGCCTAGGTTCCAACTCAGTTGCGCATCCTACTATTCGCATATGCAAGGTATCGCCTGCGCGCTCTTGGCCAATACCGGCATTTCGTTGCAAGATTGGGACGCTCGGATTTCGAATTTGAGACTGCCACCTCGGCAACTGGCGACGAGCGCGCCCATATCGATGCCTTGACGTCGATATGCCCATTGCTAACTATATTCATAATGCTAGTAACAAGTACGAGCCATAATTATGTCGGAGTGCTAATTAAAGGTCTTAGAAAATA